AGAGGGAGGCAGACCGGTTGAGTACTTTTTTGTGTCGACACATCACATCATAGCACATCATACCATACTGCACCACCAGCTGAAGTGGTACATGTAGAGACAATGCGTTTCTCTCACTCAGTCAAGTGGCAGGCAGGGAGCAGCTCACTCAACTCACACCACACCACGCTCTTTCTTCTTCCACCAATGAGCTGTTTTCGCAGCGAGCGAGTGAGGGCAGACAGACAGACAGACAGACCTGATTTTTCCTCTTGTGTGCGTGGAACCGATGGCTGGCCAGTCGTCGTTGGGAGGGCGGTGGATGGATGGATGGATCGACGGTTGGATGCATGGCGTGTGTGGGTGGGTGGGTGGGTTCCGGAGGCAGCTGCAGACAGAGGAGGGGAGGGGTGCAGGGGAAGAGGGATTGGGATTGTAGCCTCATTGAGGCAGGCAGGTACCGCTATGGTACAGGGCGAGAGAGAGCCCCAGTGCGTGTAAGCCGTATACATAAGAACAGACGTGAGATGAGAGCAGGTGCGAACGGAGAGACAGACTACTGCAGTACGACGATCGAATAAATTTGCAACGTGTGTTGGTTCCGTGACCATGTCCCTTCCCACCAACCCTCGCCCGTGCACATCAGTGAGCCAATGTACGAGCACGTTCCTTCCCATCAATGTACTGGACTGGCATCAGATCAGCCAGCGAGAGTTCTCAGCGCCGCAGCCAACCACGGCAGCAGCGGCCATGCATGTCACGTGGCCGCTGCTCACGTATGGGGCTGCGCAACTAAGAATCACCTGCTGGCGACTTGCCACGACCTCATTTGACCACCAGACGCACAACGAGCATACCACAACAAATGCCCTCTCCTGTGTACGCGATGCAGTCAATCACTCACAGACGAACGCACCCACCTACCTATCCACCATGAATGTATCTTATCGACAATCGCGTCCCACCCACCCCCACCAAGCCACTACGGAACTGACTATGGCTGCCCTAAGGGTCTGTTAGGGGTTGTTTCCCAACAAGTAGTGGAGCTGCTTGCTGGCCTCGTTGTTGACCCAAGGCACCACGTCGATGACCGCTGCGGGTCGCTGATGGGGTACCTGGCGGGGTCGCTGGTCTGGAAGGCGTTGTTGAGCATCACCGCCTCCATCGTAGAGTGACATCAAATTCCTACGCAAACGCACGCAGATCAGCCTGTTTTGTGTGTGTGTGTGTGTGTGTGTGTGTGTGGGTCGGTGGGCGGGTCATCGTTACTCCGACTTCCTCTCACCATTGGCAGTTGAACAGCAGCCTGACGGCCTCCCAGCAGGTCTCTGCTAGTATCTCCCGGCCCGCATTGAACGCCGCCATGACGATCTCCAGCTCCTGGGACCGCACCGCCCCCTCCTTGGCCGCCATGAGTGCGTGAGATACATGGGGAGGTGGGGAGGGCTCTTCCAACTGACTGACCAGCGAGTGACATGGGTGGTCTTCGGTGCGTCTGCCGGGGGCATGGGATCTACCTCGAACGCCATGTCCTCACCGTGAGGTCTGCGCCGCAGCCGCAAACCTGATATCGAGGCGAAGAAACACAACAGCTGTGCGCAAAGCCCCTGCGGATGAGTTTGCATCTGTGCGTTGTCGCGTACCATCAGGTGCTGCTTAGTTGATGCGAAGAGATCTGCGCTGGGCTGCGCGAAACTTGCGCGAAACGCAAAGTCGAGCACGTAAACGGAGCTCTGGAAATGGCGGAAAGACTGGCATCGCTCGAGGTACACACCAAGACGCAGCACATCCCACGACACCCATACATATCGTGTGTGTGTGATGCAGGCTCTGACGTGGGAGTCTCGTGCGCGGGATCGCATGTCGGAGGCGCACATGATGAGGAGGCTGTGTGAGGACATGCAGCGAGAGATGGAGGCCATGGGCTTCACTGAGGAGGAGAAGGACGCAATGATAGAAGAGCTAGTCAAGAACAGGGCCAAGTTCAGGGGACTCGAGTGAGTCCAAGAGGAAGGGGATCAAAGAAGGGGCTTTGATGGGATAGATGGAGCACATGGATGGGCGTTTGTTGTCTTTCGTCTTTATTTCTCACGTGCCTGCAGGACGCAGCTGAGGATGGAGAACATCAGAATGCCGTCGAAGCGAAAGGTCATCGGGTGAGTGAATGGCAGACAGACACACGAGCAGTTATGTATGCCGCAGAGAGGCCCTTCCTTTGTGACATGCCTGATGTGTATTGTCCCTCCCTCCCTCCTTCGTCGCTGCTGCCGTGCTACAGTCAGGGAGCGTATGGGATAGTGTACTTGTTGCCGGAGAGCCAGTGGGGCGTGGTGGTCCTCAAGGCCATGATGAAGACAGAACTCATACGCAAAAACGTACGGACGGACCGACGGACGTACACACAGACAGATGGATGGATGGATGGACACAATAGACGCATGATGGTTGGATGGATTGTCTGTCTGTCTGTCTGTCTGTCTGTCTGTCTGAATCGGTTTTCCTTCTGGATCAGAGTGTGGATAAGGTGCTGACTGAGAGGTCCGCCATGACCAAGGCCGTCGACTCGCCATGGATCGCACACCTATACCACTCATTCCAGGCAGGGCAGGCGCACAGCACACGATGACCCATACATATCCTTCCTTGTCTGCATCTACCCCCTGTCCAACCACCTGTGGTATGGTGTGGTGTGGTGTGCCGTCGTTCGTTCCAGAAGGAGGATTTGCTGCTGATGGTGATGGAGTTTGTGCAGGGCGGTGACCTGATGGAGCACCTCATCCAGCGACAGATCTTCTCCGAGCAAGAGACCAGGTTCTATATCGCAGAACTGGTCGAGGCGCTCGACTACGTCCACACGAAGCTGGGCTTCATCCACAGGGGTGCGTGAGCAACGCGCACACACGCACACACGCACATGGAAATCACGGGACATATCGATGTATGCTTGTGTGGTGTGTGTCCCGTCCGCCCTCCACAGACGTCAAGCCCGACAACATTTGCTTGGACACCAAAGGCCACCTGAAGCTGCTCGACTTCGGACTTGCAAAGGACACACAGGCAGGCCATATCGTCCATCCATCCATCCCACCCCCCCACCCCCTGCTGTATGTGTCTTTTTCCGTGTCTTGTCTGTCTGCAGGATTGGTCGTCGCGGGTGAGGCGCCTCTTCGAGGCGGGACGACGCAGCCTCAAGGAACACCAAGGCAAGACACACAGACGGACCGACCGACAGCATTGGACAAGATGCACACAGGCATACTGTGCCGATGTGCACATGCAGAGCGATCCGTTGCCGACGTGGCGGCGAACGGCCTGGGGTCAAGCCAGGATGGCCCCACTGCTGGCGATGTCGACGGCAAACACGAGACGCAGACACAGATGCAGACACCGACACAGACGACGACGTCCCGCCCGTCGCATCTGAGCAGGGAGCAGATGGCCTCCATGGTCGGCACTTGGGATTACATGGTGTGTATGTGTGTAACCGCACACACACACACACACATACGGAGACACAAGATCTCCCTCCCTTCGTGTCTTATTCCTTGCTGACTGATCCATCCGCCATCACATGTATGTCAGGCCCCGGAGTTGTTTCAGCGTCAGCCCTACGGTTTTGACGTCGACTGGTGGGCGGTAAGTTAAGTTAGCTGACTGAAGCACACACACGAATACACAAATTGCAGAACGGAGAGGAATGTCGTTCGTTCGTTCGTTCAGGTGGGTGTGATAATGTACGAAATGCTGTACGGCGGGCCGCCCTTCGCCGACCCCCAACACAATCCAGAGACCACGGCACAGAGGGTGCCCCAGTAAGTGGGAGGAAATTGACATTGACGTCCTGTTCATCCAGCTAGCTGCTGCCATTTGAACCTGCGGTGCAGGTGGCAGAAGCATTTGGAGTTCCACGCGACACCCGCCATTTCTGCGGACGCCATAGGCCTAATGAAGAAGTGAGGCAGACACACAGCACGCACACACACACACACACAGACAGAGAGAGAGAGTGTTGGGGATGGATGGATGGATGTGCGTCGATGTACCTACCAGGTTGCTGTGTGACTCGAAGGACCGGCTCAAGACGGCCGCAGAGATCCGCACGCACCCCTTCTTCAAAGGCATCGACTTCAGCAGCCTGAGGCAACAGAACCCGCCCTTCGTGCCTCAGCTGAGCGGCCCCCTGGACACCAGCTACTTCCCCGTCATCGACACGAAAGAGGCCGAGCAGAGGGTAAGTGCGGAAGGACACAAGAGGGAGGCACCCACCTGCGCCCCCACGGCCATCTCTTTTGCCCGTCAGTTCCAGCGCAACCAGTTTGTCTTCCCCAAACACGACCCAACTCGCCTTCTAGCGGTCAGTCAGTAACCACACACCCATTGCCCACTGACATTTCTGCACGTCCCTTCTCTCTCTCTCTATCTCCCTCGTACTCCTGCAGCGTTTGACGATCCGTGACGACGACTGGCACTACTCTGACCGGACGGCGTCCAAGCACCTCCTGCACAACCCCCAGCTGTCATACGGCCTCCTCAAGGAGCACATCAACAGCAAGAAGGCCAGGCAGGAGCAGCAGCAGCGAAAACAAGTGTCGGCCAATCAGGGTGGCGAGGGCCGACGAGAGGGGGAGGGGGAGAAGGAGAAAGAGGAGGAGGACAATGATATAGTGATTGTGGAGAGGGAGGACCACGGCGCCGCATCCCCCGCGACTCCCAATCTCATCCCTGGTGGGTGAAAGCGCTACACGCCCAGCCAAGCAGACTTTTCTCATCGCTTTCTGTCTGCCCGTTCAGCCATCTCCGCCGTTGCCCCCGCCCCCGCCCTCGCCCCCCTCTCATCAGTAGAGGAGCGCACCGAGCCCACACTCACAGACCAGGCCGCACTCGCCTCGCCGACAGCCGCAGACACCCCCAAGCATGGAGGCAGGTCGCCCACGTCTCGCGGCGCCATGTCGGCCCTCCTGCGGCCGTTCACTCTACTGTTTCGCAAGCAAAGCGGTGCAGCCAAAGGGGCCAGGAGGGTGGGGGGAAGGGCCGAGGGTGATAGGAATGAGGCGACGGGCGGTAGAGAAGGGGAGGGGCCGACACATCAGCGGTGTGAGGAGGTGACGGAGACGCCAGATGCACAGCAGCCGATGGAGAGCGGCGCGCAACGACAGCTGACCGAGGGCACTCCCAACACTGGTATGTCTACATACGTGTCAGAAGGACAACCACACCACCGGTGACGCATGGCATGTTTGCCGTCTGTCTGTTTGTCTGTTTGTCTGTCTGTCTGTCTGTTCAGACATACCCATCTCCTCCATCGAGGTGCCCACCCTCCCCTCCTCATCTCCCTCTGCCTCTGCGTCTCCGTCGGCATTTGCATTTCCATCCGATAGCAGCCCCACTGCCGCCAGCGCCAGCCCCAGCCCCAGCCCCGGCGGCTCCCCCATCAGCCCCCTCCCTCACGGCATCACACTCTCTCACGCCGAAGTCATGAAGGCCGTCCGCTCAAAGGACACACCCACGGCAGCCTTCATCGACAAGCCGTCCAAAGAAGAGAGTGCGGCTGACGATGCATCTGCCGACCCTCAGCAGCAGGGGCAGGGACAGCAGCATGAGGCCGGTGGTGGTGCGGACGAGGCACACGCAGATCACGAGCAAGAGCAGCCGAACGATGCCGGGCGGCAGGATGAGCCGGAGGTAGAGGGGTCCAAGGGGAAGCAGAAGGGCCGGCAGAGGGAGAAGGGTGCGGCCTTCTTAGAGTGGCTAAGCCACATGCAGCTGTGGACGGGCCCTGCTGCCCCGGGGGTGGGCGGCCGGGCTCGTGGGATGGGACACGTCCATGAAATGCAGTGAGTGAGGGGTGGATGGATGGATGCATGGACCGATGGACTGTATGTCTGGATGTCATTCATCCACTCGTTGAAGTGCGGTGACGCGCGTCAACGGTTGGTCGTACAGACGGCGAGTGAGTGAGTGACTTAGTCTCGCTGCATTGCGCATTGCATTTGCCACATTCAGTTGGTGCACCCGGTGCGTGGCAGTCACGAGGTCTCTCACAGACAGACAGACAGACAGACAGACAGAGAGTGAATGGACAAATACATACCACACACAGGAGGACGTACAACCACCACAAGACAGACACACCTACTTAATTGGCCTCTCACCCACAGAAAGTCGCGCTCTCGGGCTCGCTCACTCTCGACCGCTCTCTTGAGACACGCAAAGATCACGTGTATACGGACGGGTAGACACACCGATGCATCCACCGGCCACGGAATAAAGTCCCACACCACGCACATACGTACGCAACGGTCACAGACAGACAGACAGACAGACAGACAGAAAAACGCCAACACACGCCACTCACTGGTGGATAGCTATAATTTCGGCTACACGCTTACAGACACATCCTCCTTCCCCCCCCCCCCCCCCCCC